GGTTAACCTCATAACAACAGCAACTGTAACAACAATGGAGATGGCAGTAACAGTATTGGTTATCAATCTATTAATTATTTGTTTCTTCGTTATAATAAAAATAAGGTATTTTTATCAGAATCTGATTATTCTTTAAAAAGATAATCAAGGTGCAAAGGATTTCACAAAAATTGTAGTTGCAATTGGGAATTGATTAATTCTTTTCTTTTTAATGAATATATGCTTTATTAAATTAAATTCTACTCTCCAAAGATACTTGCTTTAACTATTTTTATTTTACGAATATCTCATCATAATTTTAATCTTGTATTTTTAATCATCCTTTTGTGCAGCCTTTTCTCTTATACTTTGCAATAGAATTAGAATAAATTTAATTGAATAAATTTCTTTTACAAGTTTCATTATTATCACCGTGAATGTTCATACACCATCATTATTATTATGTTGTCTATAGATTCGTCCAATTATCGAATAACAAAGACACATAAAAGTTAATTTTTGGTACTGATTTACATAAGTATATATACTTTAAAGAAAGATTTTCTTTTCGATTTTGCTGTAAATGCCTTGAAAGTTGGCGAGAAGATGTAAAATAACTTGCAATTCTCCAGGAAATACATATTAATATTAATATTGCGGAATTTCCTTGTTAACTTTATGTCTCATTAACATAATGCAATATCCCATGTATATTTATTCATCATATGATATGACGTTTTGTTTTAATAATAAAAAATGGTTATTGCTATCCTTTTTGAAGAAAAAGATCAAGATTTGAGAGTTATAATAGACAGAATATACAGAATATTCATTATAGTGGCTGTTAAAAATCTTTGGTGAAATTTAATCCTTCATTAACATTCTGTAACAATTGGCACTTATGTTTATAATAAATTCATTATGTATTTAATCAAAATTACATACAAAAGTCATGAAATTGTAGTGATTTTTATATTACGACCTTTGTACACAGTATATAATTTGTGGGGAGGGAGACTGGTTTATATAATAATAATAATAATAATAATAATAAAGTAAAGTTTGAATCACAGTATTTATAATTAATATGTATCATCTATGCATGTGTGATAAAAAACTTTGGGGTTAGATCATGATGAATTAATGTTTTTAACATAATTTGTATGCAGCAGGATTTTGTTACCTAATTAAAAATAAATTTTTGTTTATATCACAAATGGACTTATATATAAATCCCTTTGCATCTAAAGACTAGTGCCGTAAATTATGGTGATGGTAGTAACTGTATTTATGGCATATAAAAAGTGGTTGCAATTACCTTTGCGACCACTTTGCAACCATACTTTTTCCTTTTTTGGATTACAGCACTAGTCTTTATTTGCATCAGAAGAGAATCTTATTAATTTCATCTTATCCCATTTAAATTTATTTTTGTCATCAATCAAGGATACCAACTGGATTCCAGAAAAGATATTTCATATCTAAACATGTTGTTTGGACGAATATATGTAGTTTTGAAATCTGGTTTACAAGCATATGGTGCTTTGTTATAATGTTCTTTTCTTGATGTGGATGTGTAACTTGTTTTTTTCAGACCTATATTCAAATATTCAAAGGTTGCATTATATAAGTGATATTTCGTTGAATTTAAACAAAAAAACTTCAATTTTCAATATTTGGTAATTACCATTCAATATGTATGTGTTTTTTCCCAAGCAACGTGTCAAATAAAATACTTAGATTATGTTGCAATGTGCCTTTGTTGTAATTCTCTAAACTGACTGCTTTGATTGATGAAATTTTCCAAATATGCTTCCTAAAAAAGAATAATAATTTATTAATAATATTAACTATTTTAAAAAAATCATCATTTAAATCTTAATGCAAGTTACATTATATAAAGAAGGTCTTCAGTCAAATTTTTGTCTCATCATTAACATCAATACAGCTAAATTCTTTTTTGAGATCCATCAAAAACTCATACTCTCAGTTATGATTCTTATCCAACAAACTTGTAAAGTCAATGTTGAAATATAGGAGATGGTTGTACAGATCATTATACAATGTTTTGATTTTGATGTTTTGTTCAGAAAAAATGATATTAAGAATGACTTCATAAGGAGATCTCCAGTCATCTAGCATCATTCTCTAAAAAAAATTAAAAAAAATATATCATGAAAGTGATGATGAAAATAAAAAGGTAACCATGACATCATGATGATGGAGATAGAAAGAATATTTAGCAGTTTTAGATCAACCGTTACCAAAAAAAGTTTAAATAGAATAATTTTTAATAGAAAAGTTACTGTTCTGGTGATAATGACTTAACCTTTAAGGTTGTAGTTGGAAAACGGGAATATATAGACAGAAATGTAATTTATATCCTTTTCAAATGGAGGCAGGGATAAAAATACATAGAACAATATATTTTCTTTGGAGCATGAAAACATTAGACAACTTATTTAAAAAGTATCAACATCTAGATTGAATTAATATAAAAGCATTTCTTATAGGTATTTGGTTAGAACTTTAATGCATACTTTTGAAAAGTTTTTTTTATTTAATATAAATAAGTAGAAAAGGCTTAATTAATTCACAGTTATTAAGTGATGGATAGACTCGATGATTATGTTACTTCAATTACCAAGATATCCAAAAGTTTTGGATTATTTCCCTCATTAACTATAATAATAATAATTAATTGGATACAACAAGCGGTTGAATTTCAAGCGCTATTGCTGTCAATCAACCTTAAAAACATCAGCAAAGAAAATGGGGTTCTTAATAACGTATTTTCTACCAAAGATCACATATTCTAATTGAATTAAGAAACTTGATAACTTTTCAATTGATTACAAAATTCTTTACCTGTAACATCACATATAAAAATTTGTTTGTGATAATCCAAGCTGTCAGGTTAAAAAAGAATTTTATAACCTGCATGGAAATTAGTAATGCCAAAAGAAGTCAAAAAACTAGTTTAATATAATAAAAATTCGTGCAACAAAAATTTTACAAAAAGCTATTTTTATTCGAGGAAATTATCTACAAAGTTTAATAAACTTTTGTTCTTTAAGTTCCCTGGTTAAATTTTCCGATGCTTTACTTTCAAACACCATACATATCAAAGGCTTTATATTGAGCCAACTTTTTGAACTTTAACCCAGAGATTCAAGTTGGAATAATTTTTAAAGTACCCAAATAGTGTATCTCAACGTGCTAGATTAAATTTCAAGGGTAAGTTTTTGAGAGGTGGCGAGTTTTATATTTTTCGGTAACAATTTAACAATTTTTTTATATAAAAAAAATTTATCTAAATTTTTATTTATGCTCCATGCTTCCCGTTCATTTGAAAATCTACAAAAGACGTCGTCGACAACAATTCTTCTTTATATACTGTCACCAATGAATTTAGTGGGAGAGCCTTTAATTGATGACAACAGAAACAAATAAAATTTGTATCAATCAGTCTAAAAGGGTATACTAGCAAATGTATAGCTTTATTTATTAACTTAAGAATTATTTGTTCCGTGCAATTTTGAGATATTCGCGCAATTTTGAAATATCGCCTCAACTTTGAGATATTATTGCAATATTGAGATATTAGAATTTCTAATTAATTGAATGGTATATAAAGAACTCAATTTCGACCTACTGTAAAAGTAACTGTCTAACAAGTTAATTAGTTTCGACTCAAAACCTATTTATTCTTTATTCAGTAAAACACTATTTTACATCCTCTTGGAATTCCAATTGCATATATACATATTTCCATTAATTATAAGATGTTATTATCATGGATTCATGGTATTGTCATGGAAATCATGATAATAACATCCTTTGCATTTTTGCATTACTACACTACTCACTATTAAACAATAAAGGTCATTTTTATTCATACAAACAAATAAAGAAATGTTGTATATAGTAAAGATATATAACTATTAAATATACATCAGAAAAAAATGGTGTATATTATATATACAATTATTAGGTATTCATTATAATGGTATATGCCCATTCTTTTTTGTATGTTATATATAAATGAATATCCTGTAATTGCATATACAGTATGTGTAATATACAGCGCTATTTTCGTGAATTAATATCCGAATGTAGTAATTTGAAGGACTTTCAATCCACGGCTTGTTGATGTTCAATATGATCTTTTAATTATTGTAGGAAAATTTAATTGTTGTTTATATAAAAGTTATTTGTTTTCCAAAGCTGCTAACATTCAATGTAGAATATACTTGGGAATAATCTATTATATTATTCCTGACGTTTTTACAGCCACCGCATTATTTTAGTTGGGGATAAAAGTAAATGGATTTTCATTGAGATTCATATTTAGAAATCATCACTTATTGAAAATTCGTACAGATTCATTAATTTAAAAAAGACATTTTTGTTTATTATCAAGTGTTTGTTACACGGTTTTTCTTGGGGCTGTCGATTAAAGAAAATGTCAGAACATTAGGAACGATGATGCAATTTGCATGATACTGCATAATCAGTAAAAATTGCCAAATGATGCATAATCAACATCAACCAACCAAAATTGCATAATTAATAATTAATTATCGCATGATCAACAGAAAATTGTATTCTTTCTGTTTAAGGTAATATTAAAAATGTAGTGACATTTTTTCAGTTTGAGTTTCCTTTTTTGTATTTAAATTTAAATTCATTATTAGCCCGAATTATAGTGCTTGCAGTCACCCTCAAGTATTTCAAATCTTAGTGTTGACGGTTACATTCAATAGAGTTTTCCCAATCCTTAACCAACTACATATAGATTAAAAGAATATCCAAATGTATTTAGAGTATTTTTTTGTGATCATTCTAGAGTGGAGCCGTTGACAATCATCGCTAATTATAATTCTGCATAATTCGCATTAGTTGACTTTTTTGGTGCATAATTAATGTATAATTTGCTTTTTATTGCATGCATAATTTATTGCCGCATAAAAATCATCGTCCTTGCAGAACATTGTAAGCCAGATCCAAGAGTTTGGCATATAGTACAAAGATAAAAATGGTTAATATTTAGGAGTTTCTAACCCAAAAAAAATCTAACATTAAGGGGTATTAAGGGGTAAAATCAAAATGTTGCGCCCGGCGAGAGGGCGCAAAAGGCGTGTAATATTACTATCCAATCAACTTTTAGATAGTCTCTAAATTTGTACTAGCTACACGACAGAATTTACACATTGGTCCGCATGGCCAAAATCATCGGATCCCAATATAGCAATGATATAAAATCACATGACTCAATCACTTATTTGTTCGGCGCACCAAATTAGTGCTAGGATAAAAAAATCGAGATATATATATATATTGGGAGGCCAAGGATAACATATATACATACCGTGAATAATATAGGGATTAATTAAGTTTGTTTCGCATAAATGGGAAGTCAGCAAATTTTTGATGTATACACATCTAAACTTGATAAGTCGGATATTATAAAGTACTTTAAACAATTGATTGCTGCGTTCGACTTATCGAGTTTAGATATAAATTAGATTTACTAAATGATGATAAAAATCTACCACATATATTCATGTTAATCATGTGATAAATTATATACTTGATTACGTGTCTAGTAAAATCTTTCTTAAATAGAAAGGATCACGGGTAAATCTCATTATCCTCGGGCTTTTTTATAATAAAATTTTTTATTGGATTGTCGCCTAAGTTCTAAAATTGAGAGTTTTTTTTCCAACTTCCAAATATAGCTATTGAACCTTAGCGTTTTAAAGATTCGTCATTTTTTTGATGTCTTCCCCATAAATTTTTCAAACATCATACGCGTTTCTATTGAAAAATTTCCGTATAAGAAACAGAATTGTTGTTGTCAAGATACTATGGGTAATAATAATACGTTATCCTTTTGGTGGAATTTAATTCACCCCAAAGACTTAGCAATCGATAGAGTGTGGCTTTTAATTGTAAATTCATATGCTAACTGTTTTACTTTCTCCTACTCAACGAGACCTGTTTATAAAAAAAGAATGGAATGTGTGTATGTGCTTTTAATTGTTTCCTTATTATGTGATTGTCATGTTATAAACTTGTTTATTTTTTTGATTATTTAGAGAGTCAGATACAAAAAAATTTGTGATTAATCTATATCCATGTATAATGTGATAAACATAATTTATATTCGTTACCCTGTAAACATGATCTCTCTTTTTCTTTTCTTTTTCTTCTCTTCGATAATTGGGAAATTTTTTCATTGCTATTATTTTCACATCAACTGTAGTACAAATTTTCATTTTGTTGGGGCATGATGTATATCCATTCCGTATACAGAATGAATTAACCCGATTTAATTTTCATTTAAATTCTTGAGGAAAAAACAAAAAGGAAACCAAAAAGATTATTCGAGTGGGCCGTGCATACATAAATTTTATGCAAGCCGGGCATTTCGCACCATGATGGTGGATGTAATCTTGTTGGTGGATTTTGGTTAGTCGCTGATTGGATGATTTATTTGATTGGCTGATTGATTGATGGCTGGTTGATTACTAGCTATTTGACGCAAATACTTTTTTTCTTTCTATTTTTTTTTTTTAAATCAAATCAGGCTTAAAAAAAACTTTCATATGTTTCAAATATCATCTTTAATTTAAAATAATTAATAATAATTTATTTTTAATTGGTGAAAATTTTAGAATACTTGGCTTGTGAATGAACTTTTCAATTCAGTTATTGCATGTGTTTTTAGTATGATTATTTATGATTATGAAAGTTTTTTGGCGTTAATTTTTTTGTGTATTGGGAAATTACTTAAAAATTATATTTTTACTCAGTTTATTATTATTATTTTATTTATTTATCAATAAAAAAATATTTTTTGATAGATGTAAATATTTGTCAACATTAAATGTTGAAATATTCTTTATCTTTAAAACTAATTAATTATGGAAGTAATTAAAAATCATTATATTTTATATTACAATTGGGAGAGACTTGTGAAACGTATTCCTTTTGATATTTTATTCGTTTTAGAAGAATAAAGAACCTCATATGAGTATTTAAAGAACCCTTTAATTAACATATTTGCACCACAACGATCATACCTTCTTATAGCTGAAAATGTAACAATTCATTAAACAAATTATACTAAGTTATCA